TGTAACTCTCTAGGTATCATTTTCCTTGACAGTTATTGATGGGATATGTATGCTATCATGATGTTTTTGAGTTACTAGGCAATGCAAGGATAAAAATGATTTTGTTATGATGTTCTGAGGTGTTGTCATGTGGATTGTAAGGTTGTTCAAGGTTGTATGATGCTATGTGGTAAAGTTAAGTTCATGCACATGTTATATGGTGTAAAATAGTGATAGATTCATATATATGATTGGGAAGGATATACATGGAGGTTTAAATAGGTATTCTAATATGATTTGATATACTTGTATGTGCATATGAGGATAGATGACCTTATGAATTAATTAGTGAATGGTTGTGTGTTTAGTGAGATTGACCTTAAGATGTGATATCATCATATTAGAGTTAATTCTGAAGATATATCCAAGATAGATTTAGGCTAAATTATCTAAGTATGATTTTTGATTGTATGAGGTGAGTGTTCTAGCCTTGTAATTTCTTGCGCGGATATAACGTAAATCTACCTATGGTAGAAGTTGTGCTTAAGTGAGAGATACCAAAAGTCAAATAGTGAGATTAGGAGTTTTATTGAGATAGTTTATACGTGCTGAACTCTGTGTTGTGCTGTTTTGCTGTGTTGTTTGTTATGCTGACTGTTGTGATGTTTGTTGTGCTGTTGTTTGTGGTTTGGTCTAGTTATTGTGTACTAAAGATGCTGTTACTTTTGTAGACAATGTATAGAGCCAACGAACAGATAGCCCGTGCCATGGAGATGATGGTCATGGCTATGCAGCAACAGAATGCCTATTTTGCTAGGGCAGAGGCGGATAGAACTGCTGCTGGTGCAACAAGGCCCACTGGGTCACAGGAGAGTCAGGACCTAGCCGAGTTCCGGAAGTGCCATCCTCCACAATTCAAAGGGGATGCAGATCCAGAGGTGGCTGACCACTGGATTTGTGAGCTTGAGAAGATTTTTACTGTGTTGGGATGTTCACAGGAGCGAAGATTGGCATATGATGTATATATGCTGGTCGGGGAGGCAGAGCATTGGTGGAGAAGTACCCATCACATGCTGACTGCCAGAGGGGCGGTTGTTGACTGGGAATGCTTCAAGAGGGTGTTCCTGGAGAAGTATTTCCCTGAGAGTGTGAGGCATGCTAAGGAAGCTGAGTTCATGCGGTTACACCAAGGAGGGATGACTGTTTCCGAGTACGCAATGAAATTTGAGCACCTGGCTCATTTTTATTCGCAGGGTATAGCCGAGGCCTGGAAATGTCGAAAGTTTACTGAGGGTCTGAAATATGATCTGAAGAGGGTGGTGGTGCCTATGGCCATCACGGAGTTTCCAGCCTTAGTGGAGAAGGCGAAGGTGGTTGAGCGGTTGGAAGGTGGTAACCGCGAGGTGAAGACTACTGAAGGGCCATCTGGGTCCAAGAAAGGAGGGAACCAAAGGAAGCCGTATGATAGGCCCCAACCACAACAAGGGGGTCCTGTCAGCAGGCAATCTTCTGGTGCTGCAGGTGGAGGGAGGCAGGGTGGAAGTGCCACTCTAAGATGTTATAGGTGTGCTGGGCCCCACATGGTCAGGGATTGCCTGCACACTGAGAGCCACTATTTCAGATGCCACCAGATGGGCCACGAGTCGGCCAACTGTCCTACTAGAGGTAGACCGGAGGGAGGTGATGCTCGGAGGGGTGGTGCCCAGAGGGGTGATACTCAGAGGGGTGACAGACCCACTACAGCTGGTAGAGTATTTTCTTTTTCTGGGGCTGAAGCTTCTACTTCCTCAGATCTTGTGAAGGGAAAGGGTAGAGCTGCTGGTAAGGATGTGACGATTCTTTTCGATTCTGGTGCATCTCATTCTTTTATATCTTATGCATGTGCTGCTATGCTGGGTGTGCCTGTGTGTGATTTGGGGTCGAGACTGCTAGTGTTGACGCCCGCTTCTGCTTCGGTAGTTGCTTCTGAGTTGTGTGCTGGTTGTCCGATTGTGGTGAATGAGAAGAGGTACAAGGTGAACCTGATTTGTTTGCCTTTGGTGGATATTGACATAATCTTAGGGATGGATTGATTGTCTGCCAATCATATTATTATAGATTGTGCCAATAGGAGGCTGATTTTTCCTCAGGTGGAGGATGAGCTGTTTATTTCAGCTGGCCAAGCTGAATCATTGCTAAGAGATGGAGCAGAGTGTTGTCTTCTGCTTGTTGCTATGAGTGTGGAGACCGAAAGGGTCTTAGCTGATATTGTTGTGGCGCGAGATTTTGCTGAGGTGTTCCCGGATGAGGTGCCTGGGTTGCCTCCTATTAGGGAGATGGAGTTTAGCATTGACTTGGTTCCAGGTGCGGGGCCAGTGTCGGTGGCTCCCTATAGGATGGCTCCTGCTGAGTTGGTTGAGCTGAAAGGTCAGTTGGAGGACCTGTTGGAGAAATAGTTGGTGCGGCCGAGTGTATCGCCGTGGGGTGCTCCTGTGTTGTTGGTGAAAAAGAAGGATGGAGGTAGTCGACTGTGTGTTGATTACCGGCAGTTGAATAAGTTGACCATTAAGAACAAATATCCACTTCCCCGGATAGACGACTTCATGGATTAACTGAGGGGAGCATCCGTTTTCTCGAAGATTGACTTAAGGTCAGGCTATCACCAGATTAGGGTGAAGGAGGGTGACATACCGAAGACTGCTTTCATGACTAGGTATGGTCACTATGAATATGTTGTGATGCCGTTTGGTGTGACTAATGCCCCTACAGTGTTCATGGAGTACATGAACAAGATCTTCCGGCCGTTCTTGGATAAATTCATGGTGGTGTTTATAGATGACATTCTAATTTATTCAAGGACCCGGGAAGAGCATGGAGAGCACTTGAGGGTAGTGCTGGAGATTTTGAAGGCGAGGCAGCTGGACGCTAAGCTTTCAAAATGTGGGTTCTGGTTGGATGAGGGGAAGTTCTTGGGACATGTGATCTCAGCTGAGGGGATTGCTGTTGACCCGGCTAAGGTCGAGTCGGTGTTGCAGTGGGAGCGTCCAAAAACTGTCACAGATATCAGGAGTTTTGTGGGTCTGGCGGGTTACTATAGGAGGTTCATTGAAGGATTCTCCAAGATAGTGGCGCTTTTAACCCAGCTGACGAGGAAGGAGCAGCCGTTCATATGGATTGATGCTTGTGAGCGGAGTTTTGATGAGCTGAAGAGGAGGTCGACTACTTCTCCCCTGTTGGTGTTGCCGGATTCTGGTGAGCCTGTTGATGTATGCTGTGATGCTTCTCACCACGGTCTGGGGTGCGTGCTGATGCAAAACAAGAAAGTGGTGGCATATGCTTCAAGGCAGCTGAAGAATCATGAGAGGAATTATCCCACTCATGGCTTGGAGTTAGCAGCAGTGGTGTTTTCCTTGAAGATATGGAGGCATTATTTGTATGGTGCTCGGTTCAGTGTTTTCAGTGATCACAAGAGCCTGAAGTACTTGTTCGATTAGAAGGAGCTGAACATGAGTCAGAGGCAGTGGATGGAGTTTCTAAAGGATTATGATTTCCAGTTGATGTATCATCCTAGTAAAGCCAATGTTGTGGCAGATGCGCTGAGTAGGAAATCCATCCACATGTCAAGTATGATGGTAAGAGAGCTGGAGATGGTTGAGGAGTTCAGAGATTTGAATCTCTGTGTGGAGTTAGCTCAGGATCACATTAGTTGTGGGATGCTTACCATAACTAATGAGTTCTTGAGGCAGGTTGGACAAAAGCAGTTGCAGAATGTGGAGTTGGTGAAGCTTCTTGGGTTGTTGGGTACCGAGAAGGCGGTGGGTTTTGAGCTGGGAGAAGATGGAATCTTGAGATTCAAAGGCAGAATCTGTCTACCTCAGGATGCTGAGCTGAAGAGAGCTGTACTGGAGGAAGGCCACAAGAGCATACTTAGCATACATCCAGGTATGACTAAGATGTACCAAGACCTTAAGAAGACGTTCTGGTGGTCTGGTATGAAGAGAGAGATAGCCGAGTATGTGGCGGCCTGTCTGACTTGTCAGAAGGCAAAGGTTGAGCATCAGAAGCCGAGCGGGTTGATGCAGCGGATAGAGATTCCGAAATGGAAGTGGGATAGTATCACTATAGACTTTGTTGTTGGGTTGCCTAGGTCAGCTAGGAATAGTGATGCTATCTGGGTGATTGTTGACCGGTTGACCAAGTGTGCACATTTCTCGCCTGTCAACATCAAGTGGTCCTTAGAGAAGCTGACACAGACGTATGTGAGGGAGATAGTACGGTTGCACGGGGTGCCTTCCAGTATTATTTTCGACCGAGATCCGAGGTTCACTTCTAGATTTTGGCAGAGTCTACACCAAGCTCTAGGCACGAAGCTGAAGCTGACTTCTGCTTATCATCCGCAGACAGATGGTCAGTTAGAGAGGACAATCCAGTCCTTGGAAGATCTGCTGAGGGCTTGTGTGTTAGACCACTTGGGTAGCTGGTAGGACGTCCTACCACTAGTGGAGTTTACTTATAACAACAGCTTTCATGCTAGCATTGGAATGGCGCCGTTTGAAGCCTTGTATGGCAGAAGATGTAGGACTCCTCTATGCTGGTATCAGGATGGTGAGTCAGTGGTTGTGGGACCGGAGTTGATCCTACAGACTATTGAGAAAGTGAAGATGATTCAGGAGAAGATGAGGACTGCTCAGAGTAGGCAGAAATCATATGCTGATAAAAGGCGTAAGCCTTTGGAGTTTGCTGAGGGGGAGCATGTGTTTCTGAAAGTGACTCCAACTTCTGGTGTGGGCAGAGCGCTAAAGGCAAGGAAGTTGACACCGAGGTTTGTGGGTCCCTACCAGATAATATAACGTGTGGGTCTGGTTGCTTATCGGTTGGCTTTGCCACCGTCTCTTTCAAACCTACACGATGTGTTTCGTGTATCCCAGCTGAGGAAGTATGTTCACGACCCGAGTCATGTGGTGGAGCTGGACGATGTGCAAGTGAAGGAGAACCTTAATTTTGAGAAGTTGCCAATAGTTGTGGTCGATCATAAGCTGAAAGAGTTGAGGGGCAAGTCCATTGCTCTAGTGAAAGTATTGTGGGATGCAGCTACTGGTGAGGCTACTTGGGAGGTGGAGCAGCAGTGCAGGGAGCGGTATCCGGTTCTATTCCCAAGTAAGTTTGGTTTCGGGGACGAAAACTCTTGTTGTTGGGGAGGTTGTGAGACCCCTTTCTCCCTTTTCCTTTTCTACCCCCGACTCTCTTTGCTTACTCACTCTCATTTTTCCCTTCACTCATACTCTCCTTACTCTCTTCTTCTCACTTCACTAATTTTCACTTCCGTTGTTTGGATTCAAGGTGGTGTGGTTGAGTAGGTGAATCGGGGCTCTTCTTCTTCTAATCAGTTGCTCAAGTTGACCTTTCTCGTTCAAGCTCCATTCCTTCTCTTTTTCTTCTCCGTTCAAGTTCCCGGAAGCTCGGAAATCTTTGCCCGAGGTAAGGAAAGTTAGTTTTGTTGCGTTTTTGGCTGAAAACGAGTTCTAGAAACTCAAATTGCTGGTTGATGATTGATGATCCTTGATTGTGATTGCTAAAAATGAACTTTGGTGGTTTTTGGGGTTTTTGAGAAATTTGGGTTTTTCTTGATTGTTGCATGCATGGGTGAAAAGATAGTATTTTTGGACTCTATGTTGAAAATGTGGTATTTTGGCTGGTTTGCATGTGTTGGATATGTGAAGTTTTGCAGGTTTTGGGGCAATTTTCGAACTTGGAGAAGCTGTTGTTGAGCTTCGCGCTGGGCGCTGTTCTTCGCGCCGAGCGCGAGACCACCAGGAGACTCCATTTGAGCAATCTCGCCGGGCGCAATGATGTATGCGCCGGGCGTGCTTGGAAATGAGAGTCTTTGGCTGGCCCTCGCTGGGCGTGACTTGAACTGCGCCGGGCGCGATGACAGTGGTGGCATATTTTGGGTTATCTGGTGCTGCGCTGGGCGCGAGTTTTGTCGCACTAGGCACGGAGACCCCTTGGGGGTCTCTGCCAGAGGGGGCACCAGGCGTAATTTGAAATTGCGTTGGGTGCGAGACCTTGGTAGGTCTCTGCCTTTCCCACGCTGGGCACGGGTTAGGCCACGCCAGGCGCATGAGACCCCTTGAGTCTCTGCCTAGCATGCGCTGGGTGCAATTGGGTGTTGCGCCAAGCGCGAGAGAGCCTTGGACTCTCTGGCTGAGGTATGCCGGGCGCGAGCACACTTGCGTCGGGCGCGCTGGCCCCCTGGTTCCTCTGGATGTGCCATGCCGGGTGCAACCATGGGTGCGCCGGGCGCGCACGAGGATGTTGACTTGATGTGATTTTAGCTATTAAACTTTGCTGAAATTGCTGAGAAAGGTTGTTTTATGCTGAACTAAGCTGAATTTGATGATATGATGTGTTGTTTAGTTGTTGATGCTGAAAATATGATGTTAAGTTGTGATAGATGTTTAATGTTGTGCTGAGCTGGGCTGTTATTGATGATTTTCAATTATGTCTTATATGATATTGCTGTGCTCTAGAATGATGAGCTGAGTTGTGAGTAGTAAGTTGTGTTGAATACTACTTAGCTGTGTTGAATGCTGATTTGTTGTGCTGTACTGTATACTGATGTGCTGTGCTGTGCTGTGAAATGCTGAGCTGTATGTTGTTTTAGCCACTATTGTGGTGCTGTTATAGCCGCTATGTCGGTGCTGTTAGCCACTATTGTGGTGCTGTTATAGCCGCTGAGCGGTGCTGATATTGCTGAATTGTTGTGGTGTAGTATAAGCTGTGCGGGTGTGCTGATAGCTATAGATGTTTCCATTCATATATTTATATGTGTATGTTGATTTCTTTATACTAGCTTACCCTTTGTTGTTTCCATGATGTTTGGACTGCAATGATCATACTATGTATAGGAGCAGAGCAAGGATAGGTTGGTGGCTGGTGTAGGGTCTGTAGCTGGCAGACGAAGCTGATCTATTTAGATGTTTTTGTTGTTTAGCTACTAGGTGTAGTAGCTTTGATGTATTTTTGGTTGTACACTCTAACTCTAGTCGGATTTGGAACCTTGTATATACATATATTCTAGATCCTATATTATATACTTGTTCTATCTGCCTGGTGTTTCCAGTGTGCTGTGCCGTGTGTAGTGACCAGCTGGGTCGTTACACCTTGTTTGATGCTTGTTTTGGCCTTTTGTCTAATACTTCAAGATTTTGACTGGTAGTATGCCTTGTCTTGTATTTCCATCTGGCTTTCTCAAGCTTAGTCTTGATGCTTGATCAATTCATCTGATGTTTCGTTTAGCTCAACCAAACATGGTATGTGCAATAACGCGTACTTCATTTTTTAGTTTGTTTTTATATTTATTTGAAACACTAACACACACGTTAGAAATAATAAAATGCATTATATTTGTCATGTTCAAAACTTTGTTAGGAATTTATTCGTCTGACTTAACAAAATCTTTATTGAATATCACAAGATTTTTTTTTTTATATTTAAAATCCTTTAAAATCATGATCCAAAACACTATCTTTTTTCTTTCAAAAATCTTCCAAACCAACCATACATGTAATATTTTGTTGGTTATAATGTACTTTTAGTCTTCCTATAATATTTATTTCATAATTTTGATCCCTTAATTTTTAATTATATAATTTTTAACATTCAATTGATGAAAATTTAATGATAGAATTCAAAATTCAGATTTTATAAAATCGCATAAATAAAATTATAAAAATTAAGAGAACAAAATTACATATTATATATTAGACACAGAGAATACAAATTAGCTTATTTAAATTTGTAAGATAATTTTATATTTGTATCTAGAAAGTGATATTTGACAATTTTCATGACACAATATTTTTACACGAAATAAATTAATAAATTAAATTATTAATAAATTTTATTGACGATTTTTTTCTGCAACATAAATTAATTATTAATAAAAATGTCAATAACATAAAGATATAAACAGAAATTTATTAATCTTTTTAAAAAGTAATTATTAAAATTTTAGAGATGTTTGACCATTTTTTTTTAATAATCAGCTGTTATTTTATTTTTTTAAGCAGAGCAACTGTTATTTTCTTTATTTTTTATGTATAAATTAATGAGGAAAAGTTATTTCGTGTGTGTTTGGGTTGTTGTTAGAAAAACAACAAATATTTGTTTGCACATTTCAAAACACAAAATGAAGAAACAAAAACACTGATGAATTGAAAGGAAAAAAAAAGGGTTACATTCAATGGAATGGTAACTGAAACACATCTTGTTATTTAAAAACTAAAAAAATAAATTATAGATGATTGGTTAGTTATTTGCAAGGAAAAAAAAGAGAGGAAAATACAAACTAAATAAATAAATAATAATAATAGAAAAGAGTAGACAGAGAATGCAGAGACATTGATTTTCATAACTGAATGACATACATGGGAGTTATAAAGACAAGATAATTTCAAATTTGTATATACCAAAAACAAATTATTTCTTTATATATTTAATATAGATATTAATATGAATATAGATTAAAAAATAAGTAAATAAATAAATTTATATTAATATATATTAATTTTTGGTGTCCACTTTTTAAGGATAATTATATTCTTATATTTATATTCTATTTTTTTTATCAATATATCTAAAATTAAAATAGAAAAAATGCATATAAAAAATAATAAATATTTTTTAAAATAATAAAAAATAGAAGAGGAGGAAGAAGAAAAACATTAGGGTAGTTTTATACTAACATTTCAGTGTTCACTTTATAAAAATAATTATATTCTTATATTTACATTCTAATTTTTTTTCACCAATATATCTAAAGTTAAAATAGAAAAAAAAAAGCATATAAAAAATAAGGGAGTTGCTACGGTACCGTCAAAGATTGAAGGGTTTCGATACATTCTTTTATGTAAACCTATAAAAATTATAAAAAAAATTAATTTAATTATAAAATGAATAATCCAAATTATATTTATAAAATGAAAAGTAAGATAAAATTATAGAGATTAAAATTATAAGATTTTAATAATGTTATAAAACATTAAAAAAAAGAATTAATAAATAGTAGAAATAAAAAATTATTAAAATTACAATATAGAAATTCAAAAATTTAAGACAAAAGACAAAGATATACTTAAAAAATTATTAAAATTAAAATATATAAATTTAAAAATTTTAAGTGAAAAGTCAAAAAAATATACTTAAAAAATTATTAAAATTAAACTATTTAAATATATATTAATATTATTATAAATAAAATTAGAATATATAAAATAAAAATAAAATGACTAAATAATTTAAAAATTTAAAGAATAAAATATCATAAATATTATTTAAATAAATTATTAAAAATATAAAATATAAAATAAAATTATAATTACAACTATACTGATACCTTCCTAAATAATATGGTAGAATTTCTCAAAAAATAATAATTACTTAAAAAAAATTAAAAGAGGAAGAAGAAGAAAAACATTACAATAGGGTACTTTTTGTTGTTTTTCATTTTTAACAAAGACGGCAACTAGGTTGTTCGCATGTAACGGTTAAATTAATATTAATAATTGATAATGTCAAAAGCGTGAAGGCATGTTAATGTTACCTGTTTCAATTTTCCAATTTTGTAATGTCCTTGTCCTGTCCCCATTAACTTTCCTTGTCCTTGCATATACCTTCCCTTTCAACTTCGAAACAATCCCAGGAAAAGCAAAGCAACCACGACCGAAAACGAAAGCATCTCCCTCTCCCTTAAGCAAACAATCTTTAACCCTCGAAACCAAGTCACGCACTTCGACCCTCTCATCTTCTCTCTCTTCACCGCCATTCAATCATTGATTCTCCCATGGACGAGTATCTCTCTCCTCAATCTCCTCTAACATGTTTACACATCAGCAAACTCATTATCTAAATCAAAACAATTTCCTTTTTCTTTTTTTTTTGTTGACAGATCAGAGCAATACCCGAAGGAGTATTACCCGAACGCAAGCGAGCGAGTGACGAGAAGGGCATCCTCCTCGGGCTCGTCCTCCACGACGAGCGTGCACGTGACGGCGCTGGACGGGCTCGTGAACGTGAACTCGCTCTTCACGATCGCGGTGTTCGTGGGCCTGTCTCTGACGACGCCGGGCCAGCGGAGCCTGGAGAACCGGTCGTCGTGCGACGCGGGCCTGGACGTGGCGAAGAAGCTGCTGGTGTTCGAAGTGGTGTCGTTTAGCTTCTTCCTGTTTTCGTCGCTGGTGGCGCAGGGGCTGAAGCTGGCGCTGAACCTGCTCAACAGCAAGGACGTGGACGAGGCCTTCCGGGCCCACATCAACCTCAAGGCCCTCAGGCTCGGCATGTTGGGCTCCGCTATTGGGTCCGTTATGGGCTGCCTCTTCCTGGTCCTGTCCATGGTCAACGTCATCGAGATCCGCTTGGGGATGCTCTCGTGCGGAAGCAAAGCCGCCGCGCACGCTGTTGCTGTTATGGTCGTCTTGGTCTCTTCCGCTCTCCTGCTTTATATTTCTACTGCTATTTATGCTTTTACCCACTGAAATTCAAGACTAGATTTCTTGTTTTATGTGATTTTTTTTTTTTTTTTTTAATATGGTTTTGGGGTTTTATGTTGGTAGAGAGAAGGGTTTGCTCGAACCGTGTTGGAGCGAGCAAGTGGGGACTAGAGAGACATGATTTAGTGTGGTTCTCTCTTGTTTGGTTACTTTTATTGAAGATAAAAAAAGAAATATTTCCGGAAAATTGATTTTGTTATTGGTTTTGCCACGAATTTACTTAAATGTTGGTGGAATGAGATTTTGTAGGTGAGAACTAAAAGTGTTTGGGTTCGATTTGATGATGTATTATTTGGTTGGGCTGCATTCTATTCGGATTGTGAATAGATTCTCTCTGGTAAACGTTTTCGCCATCAAGATTCCGTAACTTTTTTTTTATTTTTTTATTATTATTTATATAAATTTCTCTCTTATTTTTAATGAAGGGTTAAGATTTTACTGGACAGAAATCTCACACAAGAAGCTCCAAGCCTAACCTATTCTAATGTGGTTTGGTTTAGATAATGAGTTTGTTTAGATTCCTTTGTTTTTTCATGTTACTTGAGGAAGCTACAAGAGGAAATTTTGGTGATTATATATACAAAACTGAGATTCTGGTCTAAACTGCGGTTGCAGGATTTTGTGTGATCAGAGATCTGGTGCTGGTTTTATGATAATGAACACTTTGAATGGCTTAATGGCAAAGAATTTGAAGTTCAATGGGTGTGAATTATGATGTGTAGGAAAAAGTTTGGGTTAATGCTCAAATACGTGGTATGTTATTGATTTGTCTGCCTCTTTATTGGTCGAACTTGGTCTATTGCCATGTGGTTTGGTCAATTGATTTCTTTGAATTAGGTTAATGCACACTTTCGTGCAAGAGGATTCCGCATTGTCTTAACTCTTAATTGTTAGATCTGGTGTACCTAAACATCTTAGTTAGTGTTAGTTAAGGATACTATATATGAGAAGTTAAGTTTAGACTTCACTGCGGTTGGTGAAATTGGTTTCTTGAGGAAGCCACGAGAGGGGAAAATTGATAATGCTGAAAGAGACTTACTTTGACTTAATTGAGGTTTTGGTCCAAACTACAGTTGAGAACTTCATGGAAGTTATTAAATCTTTAATTGAGAAACAGTCCTTTTGCGTGTGATCAAAGCTTTACTTCTGATTTTCAATAAACATGCTTTTAATAGCTTGATGGCTGAGCAATCAAAGTTCAATATGTTGTGGATACTTCATGCTCAGTAGATTGGTTTTGATAGAATTAATGAATTTGGGTGCTGATTCTTCAGGACATCATTTTTTACTCTCGACTGGTTGACTGATTTAAAGGGCATGTTGTGATTTTGTGTTGATCAGATATTAAATAAACTTAATGTTCTTGAATTTCCATCCAGTTCATACTAAGAAAAATTAGCTTGGTTCACAGCTTCCAGCAGTAGCAAAAAAGCAACCAGAAGGATACACTTCTAATTTTCTTTCTATTTCATAGCACTACATTGTACAGCGGCTTGCTAAACTAACGGGAATAGTGCATTGTACCATGAGGCAATTAGGATATATTTTACAATCGGTTCCTCTTAAGACTTCTAAAATTGTTGGATAATTGGTTGTGTTATATATAACAATCAAAATTCTAGTATTTAAAAGTCAGTAGTACACCCCAGTGGCTACAATAGCATAAAGTGCTGGAAAAAGTTGCTTCAAGTTTGCTTGGTGCATGGTAATGGAAAATTTTCTGGTCAAATAAGTTTGCTTGGGCAAGCTGAAACTCGAAGCAAACAAGGCATGAATATCACGAATGATTTATCAGGAAGGCCACTGAACTAAACTTGGTATATTTGAAGGTTCAAGCCTATAATTGTTGAAGATGTCAACAATTATAAGCGCTGGTTAAGTAGCACTCTCTGTAAGCTAGGGTGTATTCTTGCGTCTTGAATGTGTTTGATTAGATCTCAAAAAACTAACCAATTTGTGTTCATTTTATTAAGATCTGACATTAATGCATGCAAGGTACACGAATGCCCCCTAATTTTAAATATGCATTATAAAATTTCCCTGCTTGTTAGATGATAACATGAGAAGAAAGGCAAAGAAAATGATTTTTCCGGTTCAAATTTCCAAGGATTGTGTTTGATGTGGACTTAAGGCTTTCATTTGTTTTTAAAATATTTTTCTACTAGTAATAACTAATAATGCAGTTAAAACGACAAGGATATAAAACTGTTTCTTTTCTGTTTTTTTTTTTTTGGATGATTTAATGGATTTCAATTCACTTTGCTAAAGCAACTAATTGTTGCTTGTACTGAGTACTGATTCGCATTAATAATTTAAGGAGTTTCCACATATGCCCTATATCGGTCAATTTGCTATACAATTCTCATCTTCAGGTGATTAGTAACGAAGAGAGTCAACGAGCTTCGATCAAGAATTTTGGGTCTTATTAAATAACGCGCCTGTCTTAGAGAGCAACTAGCAGTAATGTTGATAAAAACTAGAGGTGGCTACGGATTCCCGAAAAATCTCGAAAGCCGATCTATTCAAATCGAAAAATTTAGACTGATTTGGATCGAATTGAAAACTACAAATCTAATGAGTTTAGATTGTATTACGAGTTTTGATGTTAAAATTTTAATCCAAATAGATTTAACTGATGAATTATTATATATTAGACTTTTTTTAATATTACCGATTTTTTTTTAAATACCCAAAATCTCATCCTCTTTTATTTACCTAAATATACCTAAACCAAAATCCAAGTGAGAAATAAGTTATGGGACAATCGATTACTCACTTGATCCCCCAATTTTTTTTTAGGAAACACATTGAGATATCAGTTATTAGATAATCGATTTCTTAATGGGTCCATTTGTTTTGGCGTTTTCTTTTTGTTTTCTATATTTTTTAATTTGAAAATTTATTTTCATTTAATTTAAATTTCAGAAAATGAAAATTATTTTTAATATTTAATTATAATATTTTTAA